ATGCAGTTAAAAAATATAGATCCCATAGAAGAATTCCCGATAAAGTTATAGAAGAATTAAACCAAATTGAATTTAGCTAAAAAAAAAATTTTTTTTTTCTGCAGCCAATAAACTGTTTACATATTTACCAATAAAATCATTTCACGTGACGTTCACATGACTTTATTAAATTCTAAATTTTAGACTAATTGATAAGTATAGATACGCTGCACCATATTAGCTCTACGCATTTTTTCAGAGCCAGAATTATGATAATATTGGTCAGTTACTAAAATAAGTAATAAAAATCTGACCAATATTATCAAAAATTATCTAAAAAAGGAAAGATTTTCATGGTTATTTTGGCCTTTTTTACACATTTTTCCCTATGACCTATTTCAGTATTGTTCGGGGTCCTATTAAAACAAACAATATTAGATTCATCATTTCTTTAATGATCGTCACTATTCTCTTTTTTATCAATAGTTTAGTTCTTTTGAAATAATTTTTGCTATTTTCGTCTATAAATGTTTAAAATTTTAATAAGCATTTTATTTTGTATATTTCTAATCATAAGTTGAAGTAAAGTTTGTGGTCTTTATAATCATATTCATGAAAACTCTTCTTATGATTATCATAATCTGTATTATAATTATGTGAAAAGCAAAAAAGTACAGTATTAGTAATATTTAATAAAGAAATCCATACAAAAATCCATTTTCTAATTCACTCCCTAATCCTTACCCTAATCCTTGCCCTAATCCACACCCTAATCCTTATCCTAATCCACACTCTAACCCACATCCTAAACCTTACCCTAATCTACATCTTAACCCACACCCTAATCCTTACTCTAATCTACACCTTAATCCTTACCTTTAATAATCCATACCCTAAGTTCTCTGTTTAATTTCATGCTTTTTTTGCTTTATTGTTAAACCTTTCATTTCATGCATTTGGACTTAAATGATACTCAACTCTTATTTTTTATAGGAAAATCCTTTTTGCAAAGAATATCATTCTAGATGACCTACTAGTTCTTCTCATGTCTGAAACTTTGCACTTAAAACCAACATAATACAAAATTCATTTTCCTCATCACTAGAAGTAAAATTTTCATTAATATATTTATAACAGTTCATTATTAAAATGTGTAATGAAAGAAAAGGAAGTAAATTGATGAAAAAGAAAAAAAATTAAAAAAGACAATTCGTGAGAAAAAAAGTTTATTGATAGTTTAATCAAATGATGTTATAATTAGTAGATTAAAAATGGCATTCAAAACCTCCTTTAATGCCTTAAGTAAACTTGCAGAGCAGGTGAAAATACATATATTTATCTGTAATATAATAAGAATAAAAAGTAAAAAAGTATAATGTCGGTAGCATTCAATTTCAAATTAAAAAACAAAAAATTAATCTATTAAAAATTATATTTATATGACCCGTGTACAAACACCCCGTATAAACTTAGAAATTTTCTTACTAAAAATAAAATATGACTAATAATTTTTTTAAAGACATTTAAAATCCTAGTAAAAGTAATAATAATTATTACATCAGGAAATTTGTTTAGGCGTAATTTAGTGTAATATTTCGAAGGTGGTGTAAAATTTTGAAATATTACACTAAAAACATAATATTACAAAAGTTTACGCTTTTAAATTTGAATAATTATAGTAATTTAAGAATATCTCGCTATCTACTGATCCAATCAAGACGATCTATAGCTCATTGGAATCAGCTCATCAAGACGGCGGATCGAATAGTAGTAATATCACATTTCTACAGTTGATAGAACGCTCTATAGTATGCAGTAAGTTTTAAAGTAATAGAAAGTCATCTATCAAATGTAAAGATACGAATTTACTACCATTCGATTCGTCTTGATGAGCTGATTCCAATGAGCTATAGATCGTCTTGATTGGATCAGTAGATAGCGAGATATTCTTAAATTACTATAATTATTCAAATTTAAGAGTATAAACTTTTGTAATATTACGTTTTTAGTGTAATATTTCGAAATTTTACACCACCTTCGAAATATTACACTAAATTACGCCTAAACAAATTTCCTGATGTATATATAATGTTTATATATGAGTCTTTTAAACATTTACAAGATGTAAACCAAGAAAAGTAGATTCTCTTTAAAAAAGAACTTCTTTAAAAAGAACTTACTCCTCCTAATCTAAAGTTCAAACTGACAGTATACATATAGTTACTTTGTCATAAGTTAACAGGTAATTTGGTACTTAATTATATTAAATTAGTTCTGTTTTATTCTAATATATATACATTATTCATTGATTACATTTCTCACCAATCGATCACTTGGCCATTTTTCCAGCAGAAGTTGCTAAAGAAAAAACTTTAGTTTTTTTCACTTGAGTAGTTGTAAAATACTTTATTTTTTGTTGTGAACTTTTCAGTTATTTTTTTAAGACTCAAATAGACCTTTAAAGTTTTAATGGAATTACAAAACTATGAAGCAGTTCTCATTAAAGATAATTTTATTTCTGTGAAGCTTTTTTCCCACTAGGTTCCTGAAAGTTATAACAGTTATATATTGGGTATAAGTTGAAGTAATAATAATTACTTAGAAAGCGGGCTTCTTCTTTATTATCAGTTAACATTTAAGGTATTTATAGTAATAGATGGAGACTTGGAATTTATTACCTTTTTTACTCAGTTTTTCCTCTTGGGATTTTCTAAGATTATGACTTTTCTTTTTGTTTTTTAGTTTTTCTTTTTTTTTCTGGAATGTTAATTAGGTTTAGTGTAACTTACCTTTTTTGGATTTATGTATATTGGTTATTTTAGAAGAGCTGATGAGATTGATAGATTTTAGTTTTTAATTTTTACTAATTCAAGTTAATCACATCATAATGTTTATCAAAGCATTTACTAAATATTTATAAATAGCACTTATTGAATACAAGATGTGTTAAAAAAGTATCTATAAATGTTAAATTAAAGTATTAAAAAAATGCTTAAAACATTAAATAATTAATAAATAATAAAATATTGTAGTATTTAAATATTTTATTTAATAAATGCAAATTTTTAATATTTATCAAATACTGCCATTTGATAAATACAAGACTTCCATTTGGTTAAACTTCATGATGCAGTAGAGGGATCCAGCACACAAAATCTATTTAAATTTTGCTAAATTTTCTGAAAGCTTTTTAATAAATCCGTAAAAATTTTTTAAACCCAGAATTTTTTCAGATATGACACAGCAAATTTCTGGTAAATTTTATGAATACTGGAATTTTATTAATATATAATAAAAACATTAAAATATTAATTCTCATTTTCTTGAATCAAGCTATTATTAATTCTTTAATACTTAAATCCATATTGTAATAAAGACATAATGAAAATATTTGAGATTTTAGAATATCGATAAATTTATGCTGAATTGCCAATTAAATAAAAAAGATTTTTTTTTATTGGTTCCAGTCACATGTTCTGATGCAAAAAATAAATTTCTGGAATTTTTAGATTTTTTTGGAAAATTTCCAGTATTTTTTCAAAAACTTTTTGTGCACTGGAGGGATTATCAAAATTGAATATATTAGATTACTTTAAAGCATATTTGGTCTTATTTAGTTGAAGTTGCTTGTCAAAAATAAATAGGTTATTGTTAAAATAGTAAAAATAATTTTAACATTTCGATATGATAAAATGACGAAATTATTCTATTATTAAAATTGACCAAAATGCAAATGACGAAATAGAAAAATAATTTTGACAATTTCAACATGATGAAATTCATTAATTTTGACAAACAACTTTATACCTGGTATATCCAACTGGAATTAGATGGATTACCATGATCACTAGTTAAGATATTCAGAAGGACTCTGATTCTTCTATGCTTACGAATTTCCATTCCTAAGCATGCCAACTCTTTATACAGTATTTGTTTTTGACTGAGCACATTTATTAGTAAATGAGACCTATGATGAAAAGTATTGATTTTGGCTATTCGTATACTATTCTGCTGATAAGTGGAGGAATCCTACAGGGATCACAAGAGGATTTGATTTTATACATTACTTCTTAGTTTTTGATGTTTTTATAATGGTAATATAATCTATATTGGGATTAATTTTATAGTTTATTTGGCTTAAATTACGAGGCCTGAAAAGCTAAAAAAAAGTTTCTTGTAATTTGAATTATACTCATATAGCCATATAACTACCCAACTGCATATATGTGGGATTTTCTTTAGAAAATAGCAAGTGATTTATTTTGTTCACTTAGTTCTAGTTAGTCCTTTTATGTACTTTTGTATATTTGTAAAAACTTTGACTTTTTTTTAATAAATGTGTAGTGGTTATATAAAAAAATAAAAAATATATATACATTATAAATAATTTTAAATTTATCTAATAAAGTATCCAAATGTGTTGCAGCCAAAAAAAAAAATAATAATGTCTATATTAATTCTTTTCTTAAAAAACTGAATAAAAAAATAATGTATTCTTCAAGACAATTTTAAAAAAAAATAAAAGTTATAATTAAGACTTTAATTGAAATAGTATTTAATGTTATTACTATTTATTATGTATATCTAGATTTTAAAATATATTGTGAAGTCTTAATGTCTCAGAAAAAATAGTTTTTATTGTATTAAACTAAAAAATAACTTATATATTTAACAAAATTCAAAAGTAATATAATTAACAGTATAAAGTTAAAGGCATTATTATTTAGATGAATTTGCATTAAAATTAGTTATAAAGAGGTTAAGCGAATATAATGTATCTAGTAAATCCAATATGTAAAGTTTTAGAACTTAAAATCTTATATATAGATAATAACAAAGTAAATTACATAAAAAATTAAAGTGTTTTAAAAAAAATAAAAAAATAAGCTAAACAGCTATTTACTTAAATCCAGAATTCAATTATTTTTAAACAGTTAAGAAACCTAGAAAAGCTTAAAACTAAATAATTTAATAGATTCATTTTCTTTCTAGGTAAATTGAACATTACTAATATAAGTAAATTACACATTCTCTTTAAAACTCTCTAGTATTGGCATTTGGTACCTGAAAAGAGTAAAGATATTTTACTAAATGAATATTTTGAAACAATAAAAACATATACTTTAAAATCAAATTTGAACTTATATAGTGATAATCTTAAAAATCTTTTTTTAATAGCCTATTACTCAAGAATAAAAAACATGTAACCAGGTTTAAAATTAAAACACTTTGGAAAAATTGGTTAAATACTAATAATATTACAATTTATTTTTTCAATATACAAAAATTCTGGTTTGAAATTATAAAATAAGATAAAGCTTTAGTAATGGATTATTATATAAAATTTATAAGGTGTACTTCAAGTAATAATTTCCTTTCAAAGGAATCAGATCAATTCAAGTATCTATTTCTTTTAAAAGCCGAAAAATGTGGATTAAAGCTTTTTTTGGGTGAATTACTAGAAATACTTAATGAGTTGGAAAGTCATTCTGCTTTAGAGCAGTGATTAGAAGAATTTTATTTTTTATTCACTAGATTAAAGTTATGGTATAATATACAACCAATCCATTATGAAAACACTCCTACTGGATTCTCCAGTTTTAGATCAAAAAATACCTCACCACCAACTCAGAATGATCAACTACTGAATGAATATTTTGTGATAAAAGCATATGCTTCAGAATCCGGCTTAAGTCCAGAAAATGACCAAAACATTTGACAATCTACAATAAAATGGTGAAAAAAAAGCATGGATTACTATTTCAAAATTAAGCTGAGATCATTTTAATTCGAATTTAGTATATATGCGGTGTAATAATAAATACTGTACATATAAAATTTTCAAGATAAAATTATTATATCTTTAGTTGCAAGTATAGTTAATCCGAATTATATTGGGAATTACAAAATACAAGCATATTTATGTTTTTTATTATTCTGTTGAAGTGTTTCTATAATTATCTAAAAAATCGAACAGAATATTCAAAAGCAATTATTTAATGACGAGCCTTCGTTTTTAGTGTGATGTCCAAGTGTTTTCATCATCCAAATAATAATCACTTTCATCAACAGTGTTTGATATCTTTTGTGTAGATCTTGAATGAAAGCTACAAGTAGAGATCAATTGTCAGCAGAATATACCAACGCTTCATAGATATAATAGAAAGGTAATGATAACATTTTGCGGCGACTTTTGTCAATTTTGAAAATGTCGTTGTTTCTTCGGATATTTCGAAATCCATTATCGAAAAAACCACTGGCCGCATGTTTGCTGGCCAGCTAGCTAAACAAACTCCTATAACATAACAGATAAACGCTATTAGCAAATGGCTACGATTAATAAACAAACCTAACTTACCACTGAATTGCACACATTGCATTCATCCATCGTCTCTCGAATATTGGGCGCCACAATGTAGCTGTTATACCAACCTCCCGGTAGGTCTGTGTTATTTTGAAATGACAAAAAGCTGTGCACAAAATCCATATTAGGAAAGGTTGATTTTTCGATTTTCATCTATTTTTCAAAAAGACGACGCAAGTAGACAATATCTCGATCTAAATTACAATAGTCAATTTTTACTTCGATGAGTGCTCTTCCGAGGTCTTCTAAGGATGTCCAAAAGTGGATTATAATAGTTAACATCCAATCAATTATTCTTCGTGAATTATTCTTCAATACTTACAACATTAAATGATTTCAACGTTTTCACAACCTCCACAGATAAATCTTTTTTGGATTTGTATTCTTGCATCTTCACTTCAAAATACGACATTACTGGTTGGTTTAAAGCTTCAAACATTAAGGTCGATTATGCCGTATTCAAGGGATGTTTTAATCTTTGGTCTTGTCTTCTGGCGTTTCTTATACAAGTCAAGAAGTACGCGTTCTATGTCCACATCATTGATTATCATGTCAAACTTCCATGGTGCTCAATCCATTTAGTAACTCATTTCATAAATATCGAGTTCATTCAAGGGATCGCGTTGTTAGAACGTTTAAGAATGCTCTTTCTAGCTGGTAGTGGTAGTGCATTACCGGATGTGGTAGGTGTTGTGGGAGGATCAGTAGTTTTGAAGAAGTTATAAGTCTTCAGAATCGGTGTGTGATGATGGTGTTGTGGGAAGAACAGTAGGTTCGATGAAGGGGTTATTTTTAAATCTTCAGAAACATCGGTGTCTGGTCGTTTACTTAATGCTGTGATTTTGTTTCTAGTCAGATTTGATAGTGCATTAGAATGGTGGATAGTATCTTCGTGTAATGTAGCCTCGATTTGCAACTTTGCAAGCGGTAATAAAAGATAACAATTAGGAATCACTAACAAGGATTCCTAAACACGATGTTTTTGCTGCGGTCTCAGCTTTTTGTTATTATCTCAATTCCTTGCCAGTATTCGTTAGCATATTGAATTTCCCTCCATACCTATAGTACAACATATGTTAAATATAGTTTTATCAGACATATGAATCAAATAATGATATGAAAAAACCTTTAGATCCTTAATTTTTTTCTGTGTTAGGCTCCTCATTACCGGAGCATTTACGTGCTTTGAGAGAGTTGGACAGAAGCTGTCAACAGTTGATTTCTTCGCGTACTCAAACTTAAAATGATCAAAAAACAAAGGTGGGTTCATTTTCACTCAGATGATCAAGTACAAACTTATGATCTTCGGGTCATTAAACGCGTGTCATGAAACACGTCATCACGTGAAATTTGAATTTTAGTAAGCCTCAAGCAATCAACTTTTTTCACATTTCAAAAATGCCTGCTTACTTCCTTGGTGGATCATGTATTCATGTATTGAGCAAATATTCAACCATTGTATATACATTCTACCTTTGCTTAGCGGTTCCCATATATCTGCACTGTATCTATGAAATAAACTTCAAGCTGTGTTGAAGCTCTGATATTATGAAATTCAATCATTTGGCTAATTACTATTATTCAACACGATCAAAAATAATTGGATTTATTTAAACTGCTTAATTTCAATTTGAAGTATTTTTAATTAAATTACTATTACTAATATTTTTAAATTTTGTAAATGAATTTAAAAAATGAATATTTGATAAAAATAAATAATAACTATATTCTCTTTTCCTTATCATTCAATGATTGTTGGTTGGTGAAGGGACACGCAATAATACATTAGCAGTTGGGCGAAAGCCAAGGCCTTGAATTTTATCTTTAGTAGCAATTCTCAAGAGTTCTGCTTTAGATTGTTCAGGAGTTAAATCACTGTTAGCTAGTATCAAAGCAATAGCACCAGAAACATGCGGAGCGGAAAGACTTGTTCCTGTTCCCGAAGTAATTTCACTAGGACTTCCAATTCCAGCTATTGGAACATTTTCGCCCGGAGCGAAAAGAGTAACACATTTTCCCCAGTTGCACCAATCAGTGATCCAATCTTGATTATTGGAGATCTTAGATGCAGTAACAGTTACCACCGTTTCAACTTTACCTGGGAAAAATCCACACGCATCTAGATTTCTATTGCCAGCTCCGACAACAAAATGAATTCCAGCTTCAACTGCCTTACTTGCTGCTTCACCAACAGCAGAATCTGTTGAAGTCGCTGACAAACTTTTTTTTTTAAAAAAAATTCAGCATATATAAAATATTTTACAGTATATTCATATTAATATTAACTTACTTTAAAACTATCTTCCTTCCAGGATCATTTGCTTTTTGTTGCATAACATAAGTGATTCCATTAATAATGTTTTGTGAACTTAATGGACAATTGTTTCCCGTTATTTTGACACCAATTATATTTGCATTACTTGCAACTCCAAGAGTTTTTCCTCCTACAATACTAGCAACATTTGTTCCATGTCCATTTTCATCTGCTGGATTGTTACAAAAAGTCTTTTCAACTACGGTTTTACCTTGTCTACCTTGAAACTCTTCATGTTCAAGAAAAATTCCCCTAAAATAAAAAGTAATAATTATAATTATTATTACGGTTAATCAATGCATAAAAAATTGCATTGCATATAGTAATCTTTAATACACACGAATCTACTACAAATACATCAACTCCCGCTCCAGCACTATCAGGATATATATATTTCAAGTCCAAAGGTAAATTTTCCTGATCAATACGATCAAGATTCTAAAATAAAAAAAGGGGTAAAAAAAACTTTTCATTAAAAAAAAAATTGTTTCTCAAATGGACCAATACTTACAGGCATTTTATCAGCAGGTCTCTCGGCTCTTCGTACAAGTGGCGCTTGTTCAACAACTTCATTTTCAAATGGATCTTCAATAACCTTATTTTCATTTACTATTGCAACATCATTAAGTTTAGACAAATAATTCTCAACAAAACTTTTGGTAAATTTGGTAGTATATCCAGCAATCATTCCTTTTACACTGAAATCGAAAATCACATTATTGTTATCTTTAATGGAGGAAAAATCCAATTCATGAACATTGTGTCTTTCTCTCTGTAGACATTTTTCTAACATTTCAAAATGATTCTTTACAACAGAATCATAATTTGTAGCATCTGTTTTTAACACAACGTTATAATCTATAAGTGGTTCGTTTGTTCCACCAAGATTTGGACATGTAGCATCATCTGAAGTTAGTGGTGCTGAGATAATGAAAGAGGGTAAGTTAAGAATAAGTAAAATATTTAGAATTCTTTTTGAAAACATCTCGATATGATAGTTAATGATCAATACATCAAATTCTTCATTTTGAGGGCTTCACTTATATAAAGTTTTTCTCTAGGGATAGCCATATTTGATAATTCATTTCGTTCTTTCAATTAATTAGGTTAATTTGTACAAAATAAATCACAATTTCATAAAGCTAATTAAATAAGAAGAATGAATATTATATATATATATATATATTGGGTATTGCTAATTACAATTACTTTATTCTGGGAATAACTAATTTTAGGAAATCCTAAAAAGAAAATCCCTAAAATTATATCCCTTTTATAATAAATTTTTTTCAAAAAGCTATTATCCTCTTTCCTTAACAAGAAATTAACTTGCTCATCAAATATTTCAAAGATTAGACCATTATGAATCAATTATTTACTGTTTAATAAAAATAAAAAGACCATTACCAGTTAAGTTTCAAAGATTTTCGAAACTTACTTTAAAAGAACATTTTTTAATATTAAAAAACGTTATTTTTTTCTATTTTTTATATGTAGGAAATTGGCTCCAAACGTGGACGCCGATATTCCAAAAGATTTTCGAAACTTACTTTAAAAAAACGTTTTTAATACTAAAAAGCGTTTTTTATGAATCAATTATAGTAAAAAAACTGTTAATTACCGATCGGTGTAAGTAACGGAAATTGGTTAAGTAACGTAAAGTTACTAATTTAGGTCAATTTCCGTTACTCCATATAAGGCACGGGAATTATAGTTACTTTACGTACCTTAATGTGTCACGTGACTTTACATTGCTTTTACGTTACACATGTTTTAATATATATATATATATGAGCCAGCCTACGGTAAATAAACAAAAATTAAACAATATAAAAAATTTGTAGTGTAATACTTATTGACTTTATTGTAAAGAACGCAAAAAATTTTACATTATACATTGTCTTAATTATCGATATTTAAATTGAATTGCTACAAATAAGAAATAAACAGAAATAACTAGAAAATTTACAAGTTCCTCTTGATTAATTTTAATTTTCGCCTAATTTTAATATCTCTTTTAAAATTTTATTCCTTTCTCTTTCAAATGCAAGTATTTCTTTTTGTTGTTGTCTGTTAGGTAAATTAGATTCTCTTAGAGCATTTGGACTATTTCTCACAGTTGAATTATTTCTTTGCTTTTTTGATGGTTTACTTGCTTTTTTTATAATATTAAAAAGCCTCTTTTCTAAAAATATTTAAAGATGTTTTTATTTAGTACATATCAATTATTAAAAAATTATGTTGAGGTATATATATGATTTATTTCCAGAATCTCCCATCCTTTTTAATAAAGATTTATTTTTATAAGATTTGGGAATATTGAAAACCTAAAGAATATATTTTGTAGTTCATTGTATTTTATCATATAATTGTGCATTAAAAATGGTTTTAGAATAAATTAAATAAAAATTCAATAATTAAACTTTTTAAAAATAATTAATTATAAATAACTCCAAGAAGTAATAAAAATTTGTCATCTCTATTGATATTAGTATGTGCTGACTTGCTAACATTAGTATCAAATCTTAAAAGATTCCAAATTCCCATAGGAATTAATGTAAATGCCTTAGAAATACCTGCTAAAATCCATTCTTTATTTTTATCATTAGCCAATCTAATAATTAAATTATAGTATCAATTAGAAAATCCTAAATACATAAAATTTAATAATATGTATATACCAATGGCTTGCTTATTTTATGTAAGTTTTATTTTTTCAAGTATATCAAATACTTCACTTCACTTTTGGTTTCAAGATATAGTATAAAATACACCAGTCTCTTAGTTTTAATTGATATTTCAACTTTTTTAATATTTCTAATGTAAAAAGTTTTAAGTTAAAAATTATAAATAGTTAAAATTAAAAAAAATATTTTATCTATTAAAATAAACTAAGCAAATTTTATAAATATATTTTAAATACTTGATAACAGATAAACAAGGTTATTTGTAAAATTTAATAATTATTATTTAATATATTAATTAAAATTTTATATTGCAACATACCTAATGCCTATTCTAAAAGTATATCTACTAATATACTCTTTACTATTGATATGATTAAAACAAATTTCATTATTTGTATCTTCTTTTACAATTGAAAATATAGCTGCAAATATATTTTAATATACATTTATACTTTTATTATTAGTAAAAACTCTTGTAAATATCAGAGTTTTAGTTTAATAATAAGTAGTTTTATAAATTTTTTGGTGGAATTTGAACCAAAATTTCAGGTGTAATTAAATGAAATTTAAGTGAAATATTAGGTATTTAATTAAAAATTTTAATTAATAGTTATGATAATTGAATTTTACTGTTATAATTTAAAAATATTATATATATTCTTTCAGAAGTTTTCAACATAAACAACTAATTTCCATTCTTTAATTTCTCCTTAAATTCTCTTAAATAACATATCAATTTCTAATAAAATGAATTAATAATGCAAAAGATTATTCTTTTCTCATACAAACAATTAATATTTGCCTATTGTGAAAAAATTCTAAAAAAAATTTAAAAATTAATTTGTTTATTTATATAATTAAATAAAATGAAAATAATAATTGACAAAATATTTATTTTATATTATAATCTTAGATATTAATGACCCTAACATCATCATATAAAAAATGGTAACCAGATTTATTACCAGGTTACATATAATCTGTACACATAATCTAGACAATTATTTTTAATAATTATATTTTGATTAATTTTTAAATGTAATATTTTTTTCATCAGAAAATAAAAATTCAAAAACTTATATATATTTTAATTGTATTATTTATTATAATAAAAATAATTATTGCTAATAAATTGCATATTTTATTTAATATTATAATTATTTACTTTTTTTTGTTTTTATTGATTTTTTTTTTTTTTTTTTGCAAGATAGTGCAATTTGTGAGTTTATTAATTATATATAGGAATACAAAAACATCTGTTATATAACTAATTTATTAAAACTCCAAACCAGTTTCCTATCTATAAGATTGCTCCTGTGCCTTACCATTACCTTATAAAATTCACCTATATTCTTCTATAGTTACTATTGAATTATATAGAATCACCATATTATAAGATTTCAATATATGCTTCCACTACAGGACCCCGAACAATACATATATAGGTAACAAAAAAATTTGCTTAGCCATCATATAAAAAAATTTTTTAGGTTATATTTTATTTTGCTTAGCCGAAAAAAATTTTTTATCATAGTCACGTTTTCAAATGCGTAACCAAGCAGGGGTTTAACTAAACTCAGATATGAGTTTGCGTAGCAAAATCCCTAATTTAGTAATCTTAATTTTCTGGATTTTTTTTTTCTTTTTATGTATTTAGTTCTTTGTTCTTTTATGCTCACGCACAGTTTATATCTTTATCAAAACCATCTTTATACATATATACATATACAGTATACACATTTTTCCAAGTCTTAGATAGACATATACATTATGGTTGGCTGGAAATATTCTAAACAATGGTTACAAAAACATCCATATGTTGCTAAAGTTGTACGTGCTAAAAAAGTTATTTGCATATGTGGAGCAGTAATAAAATTTAATAGGAAATATGATGAAGATTATATTAATCGTCATGCAAATGGTCCAGGATGTAAAAGGAAAGATGGACAACGAAGTATTTTATGTTTTTTTGCAAAATCAACAACAGATAAAGATGATGATATAGATATTGAAAATTCGGATGATGACTGGGATAATTGGGAGAGTGAAGTAGAAGATACGATGGATGATGATGATATTATTACAGTAGATGAAGCTGAAAATGAAATTAGTGAAGAAAATAATAATATAATAATTAATCCAACATATATTAATCAAGTATCTAACAAGAGAAAGGGATGTTTAGGGCTCTGTTCAGATTTAATTACAAATTATGTTGATAGAACACCAGCAAGTTATGGTGGAGCTCGTCGTGTTGAAGTAATTGCTAAAGAAATGTTTCCAAATAAATTTCCTCATAAATTTACAAGAAAAAAACTTACAACATCACAAAAACGTGCATTAAATCGGAAAATTTATGCAGAATCTCAATGGCGTGTTGATAAAGAATGTGAGTTTTTTTTGGGGGAAAAATTAAAAATTTACTTGTTTAATGAAAATCTTTTCTATTTAAATAATAGGTGTTGCGGTACGCGCTAAAACATGTACAGGTTATTCCGAAAAAGGGATTTGTGATGAATGTTTAACATTAAAACACAATAATCTATTAGAAAATCGTCTTGCCGTCCCAAAACCAGCACCTCAGAATCTCAAATTTACACCAAAATTTTATTTTGAAACTAATTCTTTAAAAAAACATTTGCAAAATCAAGATCTCCGTGAAATTTGGTCTATTGTTAAAGACGACGATCATACAAATATATGGATTACATTAGCAGATAAAGCTATTCATGGCGTATTTAATGAAAAACCTGTTTTTGAAGGACTTTGTGAAATAATGGTTCAAGCCTCCATTCGTAAAGATAATAATAAAGGCAAGCAAAATTTCACATATAATGAGGAATTTACGAACTTCCTCATTATATTAGGAAGTTTTAGCACTCGAGCTCTTGATATTTTTCGTCAAAATTTGGAAGGGCGCACAATTCAAAACATACGGTATGATCTGCTTATTTTATTATCTATAAAAAGTATGTTAATTTGTTAAAAAATTTTCTATCCAACTAAATAGAAAACTTCGTACTAACGATGAAGATACACTTACGAATCCTACCTTTTCATTTAAGAATGTTGCCAAATTTAAAAGGCTAATTGATACATTAAATTATCAAGGGCCTATAGCTGCTATGTCTGACAATACCAAATTAAAACCTGCTCTTCGTTATCATTCTGGTTTAGGATGTATTGTTGGGTCGACACTTTCTATCGAAGAAACTAAAATTAATGCATATAAAGATATCCCAATAATTATTAATGATATCAAAATTAAAAAAACTATTGCGAATGACGTGCGTGCCTATATATTGCAAGTAGTATTATATATACAGTATATATATATAATATATATTTATTTATAATAAATTATATCATTTATATACATACAACTGAATTCGTAGTCATATTTATTTCAATTATTATTATTATTATTAGGTACCATTACCAAACTTTCCGCCAGTAGTTATTGCAT